CAACCGGTTGGCCCAAGAATCGCCAAACAGAACACGAATTGGCGAGCATGTTTTGAGCCTGGTTTGAAACTTGCCGTAACCCTCAGGTTCCTTGCAACTGGGGACAAATACCCAAGCCTCCAGTACCAGTATCGTGTGTCACGCAGCATGATCTCCATTTTTTGTGCCTGAAGTTTGCAGAGCTATCAGAGATGAATATAAGAATGAAGTTGTCAAATGCCAGAGGAACTCCAAAGAGTGGAAAGCTGTTGCAGATGACTTTCAGAGACTTACCCTGTGCACGTGGAGCCATTGATGGGAAACATATAGTCGTGCGTTGTCCACCAAACACAGGTAGTTTCTATCACAACTATAAGGGATTTTTCTCTCTTGTCCTTGCATTAGTGGATGCAAATAATAATTTTTTATGGTGTGATGTGGGTGGTGTTGGAACAATGTCAGACAGCTAGATTTTCAATGAATCTGAACTGAAGACGTACCTCGAAGATGGCACAATAAAGTTTCCAACTCCTGAGTCATTGCCGAATGATGACCGTGACATACCATTCTTCCTACTTGGGGATGATGCATTTGCCCTCAGAACCTACATGATGAAGCCATATTCAACCAGGGCACTCACCAACGAGCAACGTATCTTCAACTATCCTATCTTTTGTTGAAGAAGAGTAGTTGAAAATGTGTTTGTCATTTTGGCTTAGCGATTTCAACTTTCAACGATGCAGCTTGATGCCTAATTCAGTCCAGGATGTGATTGAAGCAAACATTTGTCTTCACAATACAATGCGAGACCGATATGCAACGCTACAGAATGCTTGACACTGAAGACGATAACCACGACCTCATACCTGGAGAATGGAGACAACAAGCAAATATACATGATGTTGCACACGTAGTCGGACCAAACCGAGACACACGAGCAGGAAAACAGTTGCGAGAGTATCTGAAGTTGCACTTCAACAATACAGCTGGATCAGTTCCATGGCAAGACTGTATGATTTGAAGTGTTGTGTATGGAACTGAATTGCTATGCGGATGGAATTGTTTGATGATGTTCATACTGCTATCATTACTCAACATTAGTCTTATGAATTCATTATGGATATCTGGATTTCCAAATAAAGTATCAATATTGTTTGTCTTCAATTTTGTTCATATCTCAAAAAACATTGTCAGCAGTAACATTTTCCTGTTGGCCAATGTTTTTCGGTAATTCTTTTGGGTTTTGGCCTTTCGTCTAGTGGCATACCTTCTTGGAGGCATGGTGAGACGTCTAATGACAAGCTCGGCAGTTCTCAAATACCGTGGACATCGGCAGTACAAGACCTATTTATATATAATCTGGAAAGGCAGAGCGAACGCCGTGATTGTTCAAAGGGAAGTGCTAGTCGCTGAATTAAGCCAGAGTGAATGCTCAACGAACGTCAATGGATGCTCGACGGACGCACAATGAAGGCAGAGAGAAGGCAGGGGCAACGCCGCAGTGTACGAAGTTTTTATGTGGCGTCCTTTCGCCGACCGTTGTGCCTTCACTCTGCGACCTCGGCGATGGCTCTGCCTTCGCTCAGCCTTCCATTCGTCCTGTTGTCAATTCACCATGACGGCAACCGCTCTGCGTTTGTTTTGAGCATGTTCAATACAGTCGCCACTACAGTGGCGTTCTGAGCCGTTCTTGGCGTAGGCTCTGCCTACTTTCTGCCTTCATGGTGATGGCTCTGCCTTCTCTCTGCGTTCTTCGTTCCTCCTTTGAGCGTTCAATGGCGTTCCGAACATATTTAGAATGCAGAGAGAAGACAGAGCGGTCGCCGTCATCTGTAAAGGGGCTTAACCGAACAAGTGGCTATTACCGAACATAATTCCATTTCCGTATGTTTTTCTCAACTTGCTGGTCGTGACAGCTTTTTCTGGGTGTGTAGCTTCAGAAATTCTTGAGTACCTTCCAGCAGACTGTCGTTTAAGATAAAAAATATAAATCGAAACAATAAGAAAAGAAATAAAATTAAATCAATTACTCAAATTTCAGTTACGTAAGTCAATGTTAGCTGATACTAAAAGTGCCACAAAAGGCCAAATGTTTATTGGTCTTAGATAATCGTGTTTGCTTGGTCCTATAAGACCATTGATATGATATTTTAAAATAAACCCAGTAGTTTTCATGATAACTTGCCTCTTCAACCTAAAAAAGAACGTACATAAAAGTCAGTTGATACTATTGATCAAGTAATAAATCCTGGGCCCCGTTCCACAAACAATCGTAGCGCTAAGTTGATCGTAACTCCCATATACATTAACCTAAATTTACGACTGTCGTAGCGCTACGATCGCTTTGAGGAACGGGACCCAGCAGATCTTCAATTTGTGCAGAACACTGGCGATATGAGGAAATTGTTGCAATTTAGTTATCTTTTAAACCCAAATAAACAAATCGTGAAAACACTATCGATCGATAGATAAATGTTAAGATATTTGCACTAATGTAAGTCTTTATTTTTTTTAAAACTTGACAAATTTTGTCTTCAACCAAATGACGAGAGGTTGATCGAAGTATCGCCTGTAATGTAAAAGTAAATCGTGAAATATATTTATCAGATATTTATATGCAAGAAACGTATCTCTCTTTTTTTCAATGCAATTGTTATTTTTATTTCACAAGATACTGAGGAAGTGCAAGTCATGTTTGCTGCTTTTTATACAGGAATAGTACTTGATTATCAGGGTTATCCTGAACAGACTTTAAGTGACCAGTCAAATAACAGTTGTGACTAATGTTACCATGGCTTATTCTGAATTTGGGGACGTATTTTGTGTCAGTTACATCCTTGTTAGAATTTCAATTTGACGTCAATTTGTTCTTTACAAATACTATCGATCAAGGGACTCTTTTCTCTTTCCTCGTTCCTGTTACTGAACTTTTCATAATTTGTCAATTTTAGTAACAGGAACGAGGAAAGTGTTAATCAACCTTCTGTACACGATTGGAAACAAACGATAATGCGTCAAAGCAATGCCATTTCGATCTCAGCTACATTTATATAACACACCTTTTGTTCGGAATAGCCCGACATGGCTATTCGGAATAGCCTGATATGGCTATTCGGAATACCCTGACAAGGGTGTTCAGACGAGTCGACAAAAGTTAAAAACAATTATGAAAATTTGATGATGTGAAATATCTATTGTTGTTGTTTATTCGAACAACCAATTCTGAAACATTGTCGATGAACCGTGAATCGCTGAGAATGTTTTTGAAAACAAGAACTTTCAGCCATATTGCAGAGTGTTTATAAAAACACGTCCCACCTGTGTCGGTTATGTTTCGCCCATTACATCCCAACTACAATTCAATATCAGCTTCTTTATACGAATCCCTGAATTCCTCATACAGTTCACAATTGTATGACAAATGGTCTTTGTCACCAATAGCAAGTGTCTCAGTGAAATCTAGCGAAATATACCAGAAGAGTAAACGAATGCCGCACTGGGAAAGGACCACATGTTTGGAATGTAAACAAAGCCAAGCTCAGATTTTACACTGTATTATTTTCTCATACTGTGAGAGATCCGTTCGTCTACTTGTATACACGGTACGTAAGTCCCAAAACATTTGAAGTAAATTAAAACGTTCCACTGTTTAATCGTAGAATACGTGTTCTTTTAATGTATGGCTACATTTGCTAAATTGCTAACGGATGAAGGGGTGGTGTAAATCCAGCTAGGGTCCATGCAGGAAGCAAATGTGCTGTAAGTCCCCATGGTCCCTAGTATGGTGATCTACCTTCCGTTGTTAGCAATCTATAGCCTGATTTTATATTGTATTGTCATGTATAGTTAAAATATTTTAGATTGAAGTACTAGTTTTAAATTTATATCTGTGATAATCAAGTTGTTTTACTGTCCTTCGTTGACTGAATTTTATAATTAACCTTTAATTGTTAACATATTTATAACTTGATTTCCTGCAATCTCCAGCGGCTGAAGGTATGGTGTAACTCCAGCTAGGGTCCATGCAGGTAGCAAAGGTACTGTTAGTCCTCATGGTCCCTAGTATGGTGATCTACCTTCGGTTGTTGGCGATCTATAGCCCCTTTTTATACTGTCTTGTTCTAATTCGAAGTCCAATTTTAGAGAGATATGCTAGTTATATTCTTAATACTGTGATATTCTAGTTGGTTTTACAGTCCTTCGTTGACTGGTTATTTATAATCTGCATATATTTATGTTCAATTTGAAACTTGATATAGTCACGATATGGCTGAAATACTGCCGATGTGACTTAAAATCTTAACTCACTCACTCACTCTCACTTGCTCATTAGTTTTAGAACATGCATGGAACGAAAGAACGAAAGTTTTCTTCCAAATATCCGGTGTACTCGTGTCGGTGAACACGCTTTTTAGTGAAAGTCGCTTCCCGATAGTGATGTCATGTGTATGAATGAAAATATGCATGATCAATCGGCCTGCTGCTTATATTTTCAGTTCTAATGCTTCTTTCGTATTTTTACACACTTTTTTCATGTGATTATTTTCAATATTAATATATTTTGCTTTGGGACTAGACAGGAAACCAGTCAAAATCAATTGGCACCAATTACGTCATAATCAATGGGGGATAACTCTGACCTGTTCAGTGCGGCAAACAAAGGTCTCATAATGGCATAACATTTAAGCACTTATGTTGAGGGTTATACCTTCATTGTAAAACCAATGAGTGTATATTTTCAAGTAGATCTATTGATATAAACTAATTCAAAATTCCATTTTGTTTCACAGAAGGGAAAAATGTGATTTTTTCGTGTACACTTCCCCTTTAAGAAAATTCTGAAAGAAATTCTCAGTATCTTCTACACTTAGGAGTTACTCTTTATTCTGAGAAGTTTTTTAAATACGACCCCTGGTCTCTTTCATCCTCAAACTGGACACTCAGAGTATCTCTGTTAAACATTTAGTAGTAATACAGGCCAATGTTACTCAGGATTAAAATATGATGCGTCTCTTTTGTAGATTAGGAGGCAACATATGAAGAGGAGTATTGCGTTCTTAGTGGACGAGCTGAAGGTGTGTGACAGGGAGACAGCCGAGGACCGAGTGTTCTTTGTGTCAGCTTATGAGGCCCTGGTTTTCAGGCTGCACCAGGACATGAGAACGCCTACCCCCAGTAAGCTGTTGTCATTTTCACAGTAGACACTAGACTGACATCCTGTTAATACATATGCCTGTTTTCTACACTTATTGACTGGATCTGAACCAGTATAACATGGTTTCGTTGGATTTAATTCCAAATTTCTTGTTAAGAAGGGCTGATAATTACCCTCAGACTCATTCTGAACTGTAATCATAAGATATGCTGCTAAAACAGCTATCAAGTCAGAATACACCCAAGAGCCAGAGATATTCTGTGCACAGATAGTGATAAAAATATAGAGAGGGGCTGTCACTTCAAACAGTTGATGGCAGTTGAGTACAGGGTTTTTATCCCCCTCAATGCGTTTTGCGGGGGGTATTAAAATGTACTCCGTCCGTGCACATTTGTCTTTTCCGGAGCATAACTCCAAAACCGTTCAATATTTCTTCACCAAACTTGGCACATAGATAGATCTGGTGGTCTCCTGGTGCCTTTTGGTAGTTTTGGATTTCTGAATAAAATATTACTTGCGTTTCCATGGCAACAAGTTTGACTTAGACTGAAATTGGTCGTTGTGCTCTTTTCCGGGAGCAGAACTCTAAAAGCGTTCAATGTTTCTTCACCAAACTTGGCACATAGATAGACCTTGTGGTGAATTGGTGCCTTTTGGTAGTTTTGGCTTTCTGAATAAATATTTTTGTGTTTTCATGGCAACAAGTTTGACTTAGACTGAAATTGGTGGTAGTGCTCTTTTCCGGAGCAGAGCTTAAAAACTGTTCACTGTTTCGTCACGAAATTTCATACAAAGGTAGGTCTAGTGGTGAACTGGTGCCTTTGGGTAGTTTTGGATTTCTGAATAAAATGTTTTTTGGTGGTTTTTTGTGTGTTTCCATGGCAACAATTTTGGCTTCAACTGAATTTGGACTTTGAAACCTTTCAGTAATCTCCTTCCACTTAGCTATATACTCGCCAAAACATTTGACATAATCATAACTTGTAGACATATTCATAAAGAGTATTTTGCCATTGCGGGGGGATATTGATGACTTTGTCTTCTTGTTATCCTTATATATCCAGCATTGTCTTGGGGCTCTGTAATATGTGGCTAATAATTGCGTAAATATGATCTAAAAATCTGAAAAATGGGGTATTTCAGCTGCTCAGTATCCATGTGCAAGATGAATGTTTGTTGCAGTGTTGCTATGCGCAAATCGGCTTGGTTGTGAAGTAATTATTGTAAGATAATAATGATGAAACACAGGCAAACTGTAGCGCAAATAGGATTCCGCAACAGAGAGAAGAAATGAACAGTCTTCCTTTATGCTTCGCTCGCATACAGGAAGATAGGTAATTTTTCTCTCTGTTGTGCAACCCCATTTCCACTACAGTTTGCCTGTGGATCAAATTACATGCACACCTGAAGGTAACAGCGATATATTCGTCATGATGTTTGATGTCAGTTTTGAATGAGTGAGTGAGTTAAGATTTAAAGTCACATCAGCAATATTTCAGCCATATCGTGACTAAAACAATGTTCTAAATACATAATAGGGGTGGTGGGGTAGCCTAATGGTGAACACGTTTGCTTGTCACGCCGAAGACCCGGGTCCAAATCCCCACATGGGTACAATGTGTGAAGCCCATTTCTGGTGTTTCGCGCCGTGATATTGCTGGAATATTGCTAAAAGCGGCGTAAAACAACACTCACTCGCTCTAAATTCATAATAAATACATATAATATATAACACCTGTCAAGAAGGACAGATTAATTACTAGATTTTCACAATAAACTAACCAGAATATATTTATTAGTAGAAAACGTTTTTGGACAATACAATGAAATATGAACAACTAAGGTCAATGGGGACTTACAGGACCTTTGCTACTTGCATGCACCCCAGCTGGATTTACACCATCCCTTCAGCCATTGACGATTATGCTTAAATTTAGCCACAAATTAAAATGACAATATTCTACGATTAAAAAAATGTGGTGATCACGGGTGTAGGTTCTAATATGGGATAAGAAGTGGTGTCACAGATTTGTTGCGTGCTGCCTTAGCAGCAAGATCGGCCATTGTGTTCCCAGAAATGCCAACATGGCTGTGTAACCAACAAAAGACGATGTCGCATTGGCCAGTAGCAAGCTCATTATACAATTCAACAATTTCAATTAAATCGGGTTTGTTTGGCAGCTTTTGGACGATCTGGATAATTTAAGGCTTGACTCTTGGTTACTGAAGCATATGTACTGTGAGTTCAGACCTCTTTCCAAGTTGTTTTGGGTAAACTTTATCTTCTATATTTCCATTTGCTCTTTCCAAATCGGACACTCTTTGGAGAATGATGAATGGTTGCCTGAGCAGTTTGTTTTTGAAAATCACGGTTACAATCTTCTGTTGTGTGTTTTCTTACCACAGTGAGCACACAACAGACAATGTGCAAGTATTTACATCATGTCCATACTGTTGGCATTCAAAGCACCTGAGCAGCACCAAGGATACCCGGAAGACATATTCAAGCAGAATAATCAAAAATTAATTATTCCACCGGATTAGCCCATGAGCTACTGTCTTTTTGGACACAGGACTCATAGGGCATCATAAATTATTAAATTGGAAGTATACAATCTAAGTGTAAATATATGTTCAAGCATATTTGAAATATACTACCCATCAAAAGTTTAGACTTACTTAAAGCACTCACTATATGTTATGTATGTATGTGTGTGCGTGCGTGTGCGTGTGTGTGTGTGTGTGTGCGTGCGTGCGCGTGTGTATGTGTGTATTGTTGCATCCAAGATGAATTTCTCCACTAACATCGGGGAACCAACTGTAAACCTTCAGCAGACGAATTGCACGAGGGAAATGCATTAAATTACTGAAAGGCATGTGCAAATATCGTGCACGTGAACAGCTGTGTTTTGGTGTAAATTTTGTGAAGAATTCGCCAATTTTCACTGACTTTAATCATTTACAGTGATGTCCGGTAATTCCGCGCACCTAAACACATCGATCTTAACACGGCAACTAACGTCTCTTATTTATTGTGGTTTATGTGACTAAACATGCTGGTGTGCATCATATTTATCTAGAAATATAAGTTTTATTGAGGACTATAAGCTTCTATCGTTGCATTATACCATACGGTTGACCTTACCGGCGTTCTGACGACATTGCTTGCTGTCCAGTAATTCTGCACAGCAACTGATGTGGAGATCCGAAGTATGTAAACGTATTAGGGTCAGATTATTTTCAAAAGTCACTTCATCAATGTAATTACCAAATTTGAAAACGAATAATTTGGGCGAAATTGGGTTTCCATAGATTTTCTGAAACGACAAGGCTTTGCCTAAGATGTAAAAATAGATTGACCTACAAATGGCTGGGATGCTCGCTTTGCTTACCTTTAGTGATTAAAAGCCAGTCCCTTGTAGAAATGTCTCGATTTCAAGCGTAAATGTGGTAGCAGACGATGTTTACCTTATACGGAAGTACGCTATTGTAGGTGCAGGATTACCGGACTCGCGTGTATTGTACTCTCACGACAATAACCCTTTCAGCGTTACAAATTTGTTTTCCAACACATCAGTTCATATGTAAACAATACCTTCAAACAATATGGAATATTTTACAAAATCTAGTTTAGAGCAGTTGACTGAAGTGGCTACATTTAGACTAGTCTAAACTATTGATGGGTAGTATAGTTTCTAAATTTGTGTGCTAAATTATACATGCACAGGGCTTAGCATGACCAGCCGATTGATAGAACCAGGCCCATTCTACCACCCGTGTAGGTGAAGTAGGGATTGGAGTGGTGTTTTGGGCAAAGGAACACTATTCCTGGAACTCCTGCCCTCCACTGACACAATGGCGCAACCCACTGCAAACAGGTTGCTCAATTTGGTCGCCTCTTACGACCAGCAATGGGGTGTTGTGGGCGCATTCTACCCCGGGTCCACACGGGGGAAGAGCTTTTAGCATTACCCAGCACTCACCACAAGGAGCTTGCTCTTCGCGAGTGCCGATTGCCAAGTACAAGATGGAATGGAATGGAGTATCCGACGTACGCGAAGCTCTACGACTTCGTGGTGTGGTCTACCATACAGTATGGCGCAGCAATCTTGGGAACCTACACACTCTCTACCATTGATGCCGTACAGAGACGAGGTATGTGCTTCTTCCTTGGACTCGTACGCCCACAACAACCCCGTCATGGGAGATATGGTGTGGATAGCAACATCTATATGACAATGGGAACCAGTGTCTAGACGCTATAAACGGTTATGTCTGATCTTATGTGAAAGGCTATCATGAAAAAGGTTTAGCTGGGCCACTAGAGAAGCAATAGGAGAAATTGGAATTTCAGGATTCTTGCAAAGTATAAACTACATTTGGAAGACTTTCCGATACAGCGTGTTGCAAGTGAAGTGAAAACCAAAATGTTTCAATCTTTCCAAAACGAGTGGACAACAGTGATCCGACGTCATCAAGGTACCCGAGGTACCGGAGTAACAAGTTACGAATCTTTACAGTAGATTCACAAGTTGGAATTCGTCGCTGAGACATTCGCCATTATTGCCATTGAGAGAGTACCGACGTCAACAATGGTCGAGTTCAACCAGTCGTCATCTCTCTGGCCAACTCCTATTCAGAATCCAGTGACTCCGACACTGATGAAAACTTATTCAGTCTCATAAAGTGATGAATCATATACTGAACAGCAAAAGAAACGCAAGTCTGGCTTTTTGTCAAGTTTTTGAATAGAAGACAACCCAAATTATGTCTAATCATTAATTCTATAGAAAACACTGTCAGTTTAACAGCTAAAAGTTGCTGTTGACATTGAATTGCAATAAGTTCAAATTGATCACAGTCCGTCAAATGGAGATACCCCTGAACGCGAAAAGTGACAGTCTCTTTAGTAACGCGTATAGCCACCTTGAGCTTGCACACAGGCCGTGCAACGTGGCCTCATTGAGTTCACTAGAGTCTGAAAGAATGCCTGAGGCAACTGGTTCCGCTCAAACACCAATCTCTATTCCAACTGTGCAAGTGTGAGTGGCTGTCTACCTGCAGCAATCCTCCGTCCAATTTCGTCCCAGAATGTTCAATGGGAGCCATATCCGGGGAAAGAGACCTTAATGTTGTTTTGAGCCAGATAATCCATCGACACCCTTGCTGTGTGAGGGCTGCAATCGTCGCTGGCGTTGTTGACGTGCCAAAATTGGCTCCCACATATTGCCTTCGGCAGTGGATTCCAGCAGCCAATCGCCTAATCGCTTGGCACTGCTCCCCTTGACCCAAGAACAAAGGCTGCTGTTACTGTTGCTGCTTGAGTTCGGTTCCTTAGATGAGTGACCCGGATGAACCGATCTTGCGCATGAGTTGTCACTCGTTGCCATCCGGTACGGGGACGATCAGCAGCAACCCGCTTTGCAGATGACGTTAAGCAAGTCGTGTAGTGGTGTTCAGATGACAGCCCAATTGTCTAGCTACAGCGGTTGCAATGCTACCTCCGTGTAATTTTCCAATGGCCATTCCCCTCTGCTCAGTCGTTAGTCAAGGCATCGTTTGTGTGGCGTGTACACCTCCTAGTGTCAATACTGAACTGCTTTTTGACACAAACCTTTATAAAGGATACCTCAGAGTGAAATGCATGCTTTTCATCCATAAACTTCGATACACGTGCTGAAATTATGGTTTTGCTGCACTGTTGATGTGTTTGTGCGAATGTTTCCTATGGACGTCAAATTGCATGACATCATCTCATATGGGATCATTACGTCACTTTACCATGAACGTTCCATAAACAGAAACGCTTACCTTCATGAGATTTCATTTTTTCGAAACTTCCGTTTCTTTTGCTGTTCAGTATACTTGAATCATCATGTGATATTGATCACTAAGAAGAACCTGTTCACCGCTTGCTATAGTGTACAGTACACAACCCTGTGCACTTAAAACAACCCACGAATCCGCTGGTATATGACCAGATGGCGGCCACATGAATACATGCAAACACCTAGTTGCGGCAATGTGCAGTGTACTTGGACAAAGTACTGTGACTATGTGCTCCAGTCCACCCAGTTGAGATTGATAATATGATGTGCTGTTGAGAATCACATCCAATGATCGAGGAAAAATACTAGCGCCTGCTACTCTCCACCCTGATGGTCGAGGGATGATGGATAATTAGATGATCATGCAATGAAGCGACATAACAGTAACTGAAGCGCTAGTAAAATCAATTAAATGACAGTAGGCCTAACTCTAAATAGATAATTCAACCCTCACTCTTTGTCGGCCCTGTGGCATCAGCCCGGCTCTGAAAGATGCGATTCTAATCCTACTAGGGAACACATTTGCACATTTAAGTTGATCTTTGACGATATTTTTCAATTGATTTCAAACACTAACATATCATCTGAATTTGAATGTTGATGTTAATATAGAGTTAGGAAAAAGTAGAACTGGGGAATAGGTCTTACTTACGAAAAGTAAGACCTGGGAGCAAACAAAACCTCAAATGCGGTTATTCCGGGAAAAGACGCTATAGTGAGAAAACAGCCTTCAGGTTTATATATATGCAAATCAATTCTGGAGGTTGGGGTTTGATTAATGTGGAGTCTCTTCATGATAGAATTTTTATTGTGTACTTTTTGCACATATTTATTTATTGGATGATCCTCGGGTGATGCATGTCAAGACTCATGACAAAGCAAAGGAATTCCACGGCTATTTTAAGCATGCCAAGGTTGTTGGACAGAATGTGAAATTTGAGGTTGATTTTGTTGATGGCAATGTAGTTCTGGACGGTACAGCGATGGGAGTAAACCAGGTGACGTCCTTCACCAAGTCTGCCCACATTCGATTATTTGTGGAGAAGCTTTCTGAGGAATCATTGCATCGTGTGTACATGCAGTGTGTGGAACAGAACGGTAATTCAACCAACTCCTTCGCCTGGATGAAGTCGGCTGGTCTGAAATGTGAAACTGAAGACTTTCTTTTCTGCTGTCCAGGACACTCTCGCAATCGCCTAAATGTCATTCTAAATATTTGCATGAAATGTCGATTGTGCAATGAATTTACAGAGACTTTCCAACGACTCGTCAGTGTATGCCCTTCTTTGGCACAAACAGCACATCTTAAACGACATGATGACATGACTCGTTGCTTCTACTACCGTCTTCGCCATGCCTGTGGCTTTGACTCCCTGACCCCCTGACCATGTCCACGGCGTCATGGAAAATGATGCTTTCAAGCTTCTGTGGAATAGGCCTGAGAAGAATTTCACAAACAAACCGGATGATGTCCTTTTAATAAGGCCAATGAATTTATTTATATCATTGAATTTTCTGACCCTTTTGACAGCAATGTGATTGGCAAGACTCAGGAAAAGCATGCTAAGTATGCAGACTTCGTCTTCGAAATGTCTCGCTTGCATCCAAATTACACTGTCGTCAGGCTCCCCATTGTTCCCGGTGCCCTTGGTTTGGTGTGCCCACGTCTTGACAATATTTCTTACGTAAATCATCTTTTTTATATTTGTTATCTTCTTCAGTTTATTTAACTTAACAATTGAAATTCAAGACACTTGTGAAGCCAACTATGTTGCAGGTGGTGAATTGCGGGTCGGGTATGAAAAACGACTTTCCGAATTTGACAAGTTTGAAAACCAATTTGAGGTAAGTGATTGTATACTTGCCACATAAAGAAACTGTGCATTGTCAAAATGTTATCCCAGTTGATAAGTACGATAACAATGTCAAAGGTACATACAAACTTTAATGGAGGGATCATGAGACCATAACAAGTTGGGAGAATGTTATGGACATAACGGGTATGTCCACCATCGGCATTGAGAACAGCAGTGCATCGACGACGCATAGTGCCTATCAAATGTGCAAGGAAGGCTTGACGTTGTGTCAGGATAGGCCGTATGGCGGACGTTTTGGTCTGATCCCGTGATGACGTAAACGTTGTCGAACTGTGTTGGTGTGGATACGGCGAAGTCCTGGGATGGTTCGGGCAGTCATCACTGCAGTCTGAAACCTGTGGCGAAGATGGTTCACCCTTATCCATCTGTCCTGTCTCGGTGTTGTTACACGTGGACGTCCAGAACGTGGCCGATCAATACGTCATTTGTGTTCTGGTACCTTATGTAAATTTTTGTATGCACAGTTTCTTTATGTGCCTAGTATACTTTTGTATTTCTTAGTTTTGTATCTCAGTTGCTACCTCGGGTTATGTTAAGTTTCAGGTGCTTGTTGTACGACATGCCTCAGTGGATCGGGAGTTCAATCGAAAAGGGAAAATTTAGTCACACTGGGGATTTCTTGATATAAAAATAGTTTCAGTATTAATTGAAATGTTTGCCAAAGTATTTTTAAACACACAGCTTACTTCTTGCTCGTTAGCAATGCATCTCCAAGTCTGCTGTGAAAACCAAGTTTGAGCACCACACTGTGAGCGGCAAATTCATCACATCCGATGTCAGGGGAATCATGGAGCAGGCATATACCACAAGTCTACAGCTGAAGTAAGTCACACATTATACTAACACTACACAAAGACTCACAATAATGCCAAGAAGAGTGACTGGAGTGACAGACTTCTGCCTATACTTCATGTCAGTACAACACTTGCATCCCTGTATAATGTGTGTACTCAAGATATTTAAGTCTGTTGGCTGCAAGCTGGTCTTGTGCACATTTTTTAAGGATTTTACTTCTTACTTAACGGAAGACCAAAAGATATAGTTAAAAGTCAACGACTTTTTTACGTTACCGTGCTTCTATAAGTGAATGCATCCTCGATAATCTCCAGGGTATATGTTCCGATAAATCTCCACAACTTCCTTGGATGCATCTATGTCTCGGCCCAATAATTTTATTACCTCCCTTTACTGGCTCCGCATTCTCACAGTAGCCAATCAGCTAAGCCGCCGTTACAACCGAGCTTGCCAGTGTCAACAAAGATAGTGGTCGCAGCCTCGAAGGTCTGTTGGCAGTGCGACTCAGACTTTGGGGGAAGTCATACAGACAAATTGACAGATCTGAAACTTTAAAATATATATATGCAAGAACGCCTTCTACCTCTTTCAGAGTACCTCTTCATCAATTGTGTTGCCAAGTTTAATCGGTTAGATAATTTAAGAAGCGAAAGTGAGTTGTGATGTCTACGCTCAACTTCCCAGCGTAGACATCTGATTGGATATAAAGCCAGCCAAGGGAGCCGTAGATGCATCCAGGGTATAGTGGAGATTTATCGTAATGTATACCCTGGAGATTATCGAGGATGGAGTGGATGTTGTGAGACATGAATTTTGGTTATTATGACATTGGACTTTGTGAAACATAACAATAGTGGAAAGGAGGTACTGTGGACAACATTTTGGCTCCTATGTCTCTAGAACTGATCAGGAAAACAAGCGACAGGAGCGAAATAATGAACTGGTCGCCATTGAGAGGGATCTTTTCTCTCTGGACAATAACATTGAGACAGAGATCCCGACCATTGTTAAAGATGTGCTGAGGGAGGTAAGGGCATTTCAGTTCTTCTGACGTCTACTCTGTAGGGTTAGAATAGGATTCTCAGGAGGGTTAGAATAGGTCCTGACCTGCTGGGTCAGAATAAGTCTCATGCGATACAAATTTGCTTGAACAATGAGGTATCTTATTTGATCTGATGGTTAGGCTTTGTTTATTGTGTGTTTTCATTCCATGGCGGCAAGTGAGTTTGACATTATAATATTAATGCCAACCACATTCTGTCCTAGACTTTAATATTTACAGGCCTTTTAAATATGGAAGGCATACTGTTTACCTGACATAAAACAACATTTTGTCACTGAACATTTAAAGGATTACACTTTGGAATTTAAACAACTACCTTCATGTTCAATTTGTTAAGTTCCACCAAATATACAGGTCAACACAGCGCTGATGAAGGAGACCGGCCGCCTGTCTCGCCTAGTGAAGGAATATGACCAACCCTTCCATGCTGACAATGTCAAAGATTACAAGAGGGTGAGCACAACGACACACAAAATTGTATCTCAACCCAAACTGTAATGCTCATTTCAATGAGTGAGTTAAAATTTAAAGTCACATCGGCCGTATTTCAGCCATGTCGTGACCATTAGAGTTCCATATTAAAAGAAACCAAATCAGTATAAATACCTGTCAACAAAGGACAGTAAAATAGAAAAACAGAAAATTTAAAACTAGCACATAAGCCCTCTCAGGGCGACAATAAGTCTACACTACTTCAACCCCCTTTGAGAGTACTGCCACAAACGATCTCAGCTATCAGATGTGTTCTCCAAATATAAAGATCCTTCATTATATACCAAACATATTGATAAAAAATACAAGTAAACGAGAATGTATGCTAGAAAGATCATTCGTGGTTAAAACCTTGAAATAGTTATCCCTTGTGATGGAAAAATCTACACAATCAAGCAGGACATGCTTGATTGTTATTCTGTCATCACAAGGGATACAAAATGGAGAATCTTCAACTTTTAACAAAATATAATATTCATGGATGTAACGAGAATGGCCAATGCCCATGTGACCTCGGCAGCTTTTACACGTGACATCCTTACATGTGTACATCAGACCAAGCAACTGACATTGTTATCGTGTTCACTTAGTTGATGAAATTCACCATACACCAGTCCTGAAGAACAATCGTGTTTCTTGTCATCACATCTGAAGACAAACTCATGTCCACAGATGTCAACAAATCCTTAAAAATAATTACTGAAAATATAATCACTTATCTCACATACTTTAGATTAAATTTGATAATTAATTTCTTGTGGCCTAATGGAATCTGATAATCAGAATGTATTTGTTTCTCATGCGGTAAACATACTACTCAACTTTTGACACGGAGATTCTGTTGGATGTAGAGTGAGTTATTCAGTCCCAAATCCACATGAACAATTTATTGAATAACCCGTTAGGTATGAGTGATTACTGAAAATAAGTCAGTTATATAATTACAGTTTTATGGTTCAAACTCAAACAAATATCCAAAAGATATTACACTGCATGTTTTATCCCATATGGGTAATATTGGTTGATATTCCCAAATTTGAATTGGTGATTTCTCAAGTCAGGTTCATAAGTTATGAATAATTATCCTTGCTATTGATATGGCAGAAAGATGCTTACCATTTTGATGCTTACCATTTGACACTGTATAACAATAACTCTAAATATATATGTCCTGGTTATGTCTATGAATTTGTTAGTACCACAGATTATGGGATTCTCCGAAAAAGTCTTAACGCCTGTTTCATTTCATGCTTTCCTAACATGCAGTGATGTTACTTGAAAAGCTGTTTCGTCGATGTTTAAACTTCACTCTTTCAAACCCACTATCAAAAGCTATACTCGGGACTTGATGCAAAAAAGGTGGGACACTCAAGTAGGAAGAAACAAACTCCATGAATTGAAGCCAACAATCGGTTATACCTACTTGGGTTGCCAGTCAAGACGTGATGAAGTAATTTTACGACGATGTCGTATTGGCCACAGTCGGTTTACACATGACTATCTGCTAAAAACAGATAGGGATGGACCCCCCATATGTCTCTCCTGCGATGTGGCTCTCACCGTCAAGCATATTCTGCTTGACTGTGTGGATTGTACATCTGCAAGGGACTCGCATTATCACGCAACCAATCTGAAAGATCTGTTCTCCAGCGTGAGCGCTCATCTGATACTAAACTACCTGAGGGAAGTCGATCTTTATCATAAAATGTAACTGTGTAATGTCAATAACGAATGTACCTGCTTTTCAACCTAGTGCTATGACATTCTCTGTTCTAAAATGATGAATGTATGTCTTTGAAACGAAATCACTTTGTACTTACAATGTATATTAATGCAGACTTGTTCTCGTCACTATATGGCTGGAATAATGCCGATGTGACGTAAAGCTCAACTCAACTCAACTCTCACTCCGTCAAAATATGTACTTGTAAGAAACCTTCCAAAACAGTTCTTTTAACCCCGTTGTTTGCCAGGGGTTCTTAGTTGGAGTCTTAGGTAAAAACTCTGCTTTGGTATACAAGGTGCAGTTGTATATAGAAATATTCCAGATTGACTAAGTGTACATGGATCAATACCTCTGTAGATGAGCATGATGGTCTCACCATCTTGTTATACTTGTCGCTTTACGCCTTGGGGTCACAAACAGGCTGTCAGTGCAGTGTTCTCATCTCATATTTCCCAATAGCTAACTACACATTGATCAGAGATTGTTCTGTGGAACTGGTCCCTGAGATGCTTTAGATTGACAAATGAAGCCCATTGCTGTTGTCCATCATGAAATTTTGTTAACAGCACACCAAACCCGGGTGAGACAGCTTGTTTGTTGCCTCCCCTATCTGCACCCTCTCCACCACCACCATATCCCTTGACTTCTACATCTGGTTCTCTACTTCAGGGATTGAATGAATGTGTAAAGCAGGAGGAGATAGGACGTGACCTGGAGGATGCTTTCCTGCAAGGCGTCAACGATGCTGAAACACGGATGGCAGGTAAAGAGTGCTATTTTTCACAGCTGGCATTTGATAGTGCAGCCTTACCATTCGGTGTGTGTCAGTGACTTGAGTTCAAATATTGCAAGTTGCATAAAACAATCTGCTTCGTCTGAAGTTAGTTGGCGATGCATTGGGACTGGAATAATACCCTAGATACAAGCAGGTTTCACTGCCATCAGTATGTATAACCATTTCATGTCAGAAGACCTTTACAGATGTTGGATCTGTTATTTAGTTATCTTTTAAACCCAAAATAAAGGAATTGTGAAAACACTTTCGATCAATCGATACATGTTAATACTTTTGCACCTATGTATGTGTTTATTGTTTTGAAAAGTTGAACATTTTTGTCCTCAAACAAATAACAAGATGTCGATCGAATTATTGTCTGTAATGTAATAGTAAATCGGAAAATGCATTTATATGCAAGAAATGTATCTGTTTTCCAATGCAATTGCTATAACTCACAAGATACTGAGGAAGAACAGATTCTATTTGCTGCTATTCATACATGAATAGTACTTGATTATCAGGCTTATCCTGAACAGACCGTAACTGACCAGTCTAATAACAGTTGTGACTAATGTTACCATGGCGTATATGGCGTAATTTGGGGCCGTAGTGAGTGTCAGTTACATCCTTGTTAGAATTTCTGTATATTGACGTCAATTCGTTTTTTACAAATACTATCGATCAAGGGACTCTTTCCTCTTTCCTCGTTCCTGTTACGGAACTTTTCATAATTTGCAAATTTCAGTGACAGGAATGAGAAAAGAGTTTACCAACCTTCTGTACACGATTGGAAACAAATGATAATGCGCCGAAGCAATAACAGTTCATTCACAAGTAAAATTTGATTGTTGGGAATAGCCAAACAAGGTGGTTCAGATGAGTTGACAAGGGTTAAAAACAATTATGAAATTTTTATGATGTGAAATTTATATTACCAAAGGGCGGGAACAAGACTTACTTTGTATTTGTATATTATTCCCACTGAACAGTTCTTTGTTAGTATTACTTATTGCTTCATATTATAAAACACAACATGAATTAGGCGGGATATGGTGTTAGCTGTTTGGTAATACACGATGCATGTTTAAATTTTAATGTCGAATTTTACTGGGCGTATTGAATTTGAAAAGAAATAAACACACGTTTTGTTGTGATCATCGGTATTTTGTTGCTGTTGTCTGATCGAATCATCAATGGTCACTCTGAAATATCACCACTGAACCGAGTATTGCTGAAAATGTTTTGCTAAACAAGAACTTTCAGTCATATTGCAGAGTGTTTATGAAAACATGTCCCACGTATGTCGGTTCTGTTTCGCCCATTACATCACAACTACAATTCAATGTAACCTTCCTCACACGAACCCATGTAGATCCCAGAAAGGATTCTTGATCTTCAGTAACTCATTTATTGTCGTAAGAGGCGACTTACGGGATCGGATGGTCTGGCTCGCTGACTTGGTTGATACATGTCATCGTATCCCATTTGCATAGATTGATGGAATGCTGTTGATATCCAGAGTGGTCCAGACTCGATTATTTATAGAAGGCCGCCATATAGCTGGAATATTTATGAGTGCGGTGTAAAACTAAACTCGTTCACTGCTTTCCCGAATCCCTGAATTCTTCACACAATTCACAATAGAATGACAAATGGTCTTCATCACCAATACCAAGTATCTCAGTGATATCTAGCCAAAAATACAAGATGTGAAAACGAATGTTTGGAAAAGAACCACATGTCTGAAATGTAAACAAAGCCAAGCTCAGATTTGACACTATGTATCATTTTCTGATACTTGATTATCTTAGCAAGAAACAGGGAAACTTAAATAGGTGTATTCCAGTGATTTCCTAAATTAAAAGGCGCACTGATTCAGAGCAATTTCCGTTGCTTTTGTTATTGTTTTTCTCCCGTGGGTACCCGAATGATATCACAGAATTCATGACTAGTTCGTGACCTCTGCTGCACCGCACGCATGCGCAATTGATAGTATAAATATAGATTGATCAACAAAGATGATTTTTTAAAATTCTTCATTAGTATGATAATAAATGAAAACTGTCAGTGGTAAAAACATAAGAACTGAAAAATAACGAAGTCAGTGTACGTCTTTATATACTGAATCACAAAAGAAACGTCGCTTTTCAAAACCAAGTGCAAAAATTTGTTCAGTGTGTATTCTAAAGAAAAAGCATATCGACCAAATGCACCGAAAAAAGGTAGACATGGTAAAAGGTTCCGTATGTCATTTGTGAAAATGAAAATGCACGTGCATGTCATGGCAGCCCTACCAAATGAAAGCGAGTGCCAAACTTGCCTGAAATCATTTTTGTTTTGACACAACTACCATGCCAGGTCTTACGAGAGATCAGAGTAACCAAGTCATGAGACGATTGCAAGTTGTCCAGACTGCATGGAGGGTAGCCAATCATTTTAATGTTCATGTTAGGACAGCAGGAGTGGTATCAGGTCGCTAAGAACATTCAAGACGGTCCACACAGTGGGCGAACTTCAGTAACATCGCAGCGTCAAGACCGACAGATTGTGTGCCACCATCTGCAGGATCGCTTCCCAAGAGCGACGGAAACAGCACGTCATACTATTGGGACTAACAAAAGACCCATCAATGTCGATATTTGCGCGGAGAAACCTCTGCAGTCACAGGCCCTATCATAGTCTTGTCCTCACCGCTCAAAACCGACTGTAGTTGGCAACTCAGCATCGTAATTGGTGTTATTGACAATGGAGAACTGTGCTGTTATCTCCTGAAAGCCGATGTTGTGTTTCGACAGTCAATAGCAGAGTGAGAGTATAGCGAGGGCGTGGTGAAACGTTTTCCAATGAGTATTGTTGAAAGAGACTCGTGGGGTAGTCCAAGCATCATAATGTGGGGTGCGATCGGTCTGAACCAGTTAGCTGACATCAATGCCTTCCAGAATTTTTGTCCAGGATACAATCAATCAATAGAAACAAAATGCAAATCTGAAAATTAAAACAGACTAAAGTTGCAGCAAAAATATCATGCTGTTACCTAGGTCGAGGGAAGTATTCATCAATATCAACATAAAGGAATGATATGCCATTCATATGCAGCTGAAAAAGAATCCTGTTCCATGTCAGGTGTCTTTTAACAGTTTAATATGCGAAAAAGTGATTCGTCGTTTCAGGTTTTTCACATTTCTGTATAGTCTCATTTGTCATTGGTCACCCAAGATAGCACACCTGGCATCTAATTGCATGATGTCCGCCATTCTCTAAAAAAGTAATTAAGTTAGCCAATAATGAGCAATCAATCAACATATTGGCGGTTAACCCTATGAAGGAAGGACATTGTTTTTTACACAGGTGCTGTACGACAGGGTGTATTCAGTAAAGATTAGTAAGTCTACATACAAAAACACTACCTTTTGACAAAGCCACTGTGCAAGATATAAGAAATGAATCAATCAGCATGTTATCGGTTAAACCTTTGATCAATGTTTGTTTTTTGTAACTCAGCTGATATTCCTCTTGCTGCACTTCCATGCTCATATTACATAATATGTAATACATTTACTACATCAGATTTATTAATTTATGTAGTAGCAGGAGATTTGGGGTTTGTTCCACAAGGCTACGGGATGTGAGCTGACGGCATCTTTATTACGTTGGGACGAATCCACCAATGTCCTTATACATAAAACCCTTGGAAATATTACAGAGGTGAGCTTATATCCCAGATAACTTTCCCTGTAATGTGGGGCTGCTTACTGTTCAAATGCTTAAGACTGACTAAATTAGCAGGTCAACCACAAAGTGTAACCTGTGTGATAATTATGTAAGCTAGACAAAAGACTGAGGCAGGTCAGGGCTATGACTATTGTAAGATAGGGCAACCACTTCTCAGTATGCTAAAATAACCAATATTTACAGGTGTGTATTATGTACATGAAGACAGGTGCATCTTCAAATAGCAGGATCAACTTAGATAAAATATAATACTGTAACATAAAAAAACTACACTGCCACACACTAAGTCTTCCCCCTCCCCATGAATGACGTCCTCGTCATGAAACCCAATATATAGCAAGAGACAATATGAAAATTGTCCATCTATTACAGACAAGATTGCATGTGAAACTGTGCCGCCAATGTGTTCAAAAAAACCTTGTGTTGCAAGCTGTTGTCTAATCCGAGATCTTTGCAGCATCACTGTCTCTGGGACTGTGTGGCTCATGACATAGTCTCCTGAGAATATCTTTTTAGGTGTCTTCTTCTCTTGGACTGATCTTCTTGGTCGGGGTTCTGGTCTGGTAGCTGATTCAGTTGAAACTATGGAACTTCCTGACTGGTGCTGTTCCAACCCATCCTCATCATCAGGACATACTTTTGTGCTAGACAGTTCTTATTATCGGCGTAGAAGCATCATCCTCTACCACAAGACGTTCATGACTGTCGCCAGGACTATCTTCTGTAGAATGCCTCATCTAATCATATACTCCAGTATCTGTGCTGACCCGTTTGGGTGTTTGCGACTGATGCCTCTTGGACTGGCTGGTTGACCATTCTACCACTTCTATCCTCTTTAACCCTTTTTTCTTCATCTGATGGCTGATTGGCTGCTTCAACTCTCTGTTGCTGGATCAGAAGCTTCCTCCTTTTAGGAACAGGACGTGTAGATGGTTTTGAATCCATTCGTACCTGATCTGGGACTAACAACGTTCTAATGGGTAACAGGTGATTTTGATGGAGAGTTTTCATCCTACCCTCGCCATTCTCCTTCTGGACCTTGCACACGAAATTCAGCTCAGCTACAATAATATAATCGTCCTCTTCAAAATGGTCTGTAAGCTTGTGACGACCATCAAAAGCAAGGGTTTTAACTAGGACTCTGTCCCCAACCTGTAGAGTGGCTTCTCTTAGTCTCAAATCATACCCCTCCTTTTGACGTCTTTGAGCATCCTTAGACGATTCTCTTGCTTGTGGGTATGCTTATTGGTATG